GGATGGGGCCCCGAGCGGCGCCCGCACGGAGGCTCCCGCGCGGAGCCGCGCCGGGACGCTGGGTGGGAGAAACTCCGGAGGCCCTCGAGGGCGCCGGAAAGGGGCCCCGCAGCCCTGTGTGCCTTCTTTGTACCCCGCCGGAGCCGCCGAGGGCGCCCGGCCGCGGCCCCGCGCGCCTCCCGCCACAGCGGAGGCCTTCCCGATTCTTCCTGTCCACAGAAGCAGTCTTCCTTTTCCTCGCGGGCGATAGCYGGCACGTGGCTGCGGTTACCGGCCTCTGCGGAGCAAGGAGGAGGCCCCGAGCGGGGCTCCCTGCGCCTCCCTGGAAGTTGCACGCTCCGGTATCTGTGTTTCTCCCGCCTGCCGTTCACCTCCCCTAGGTCTAGGTCCACCGTCCTTCTCCTGCACTGCCTTGAGCTCTGACACCTCCAGTACTGTTTATAACAGTGTATTTATTACGTAATGTATATACTGTAATGTTTTGTAAGTTATTAATTTATATGAATTAACCTCGCCCATCAGCGGTGATGTTAATTGGGTAGAAGACTCGGAATAAGAGTTGCCTTTTTTTCTTGTAACCTTTTGTATTGCCTAAAATAAACAAACCTGAACGTAGCGGAGGAGACATACGGACCCCAGGCCGGACGCTCGGAAGCCTCCGGGGAAAAACGGAGGCGAGACCGGCCGGCTCCCAGCGTCACATCCCGATGGCCGAGCAACCCAATGTGAATCCTGCAGCAAAAATGTGAACCCATGTAATACCCGTGCTGTGAAACTGCTCCCGACGAAGCTTGTTGGCCGACGGTGTCACCCGCAGTCTGTACAATGCGTTCCAAGCTTTTGGTCCAACTCGTGACTACCTAGCTGATGACAGTAGCACAGTCGTGCATGATCGGTGGGTTTGTATGTCTGTCGAACACTGCGTTGTTCCAGGTGGTTATTTTATTGTTTCCAGAAGTTTCACACGATGTATGTTATAGTATTATATATTGTGCTCAGATGCATTCTTAAGAGATTTTTATATGAAGTGAATAAACAAAAGCATGACCCTGCACGAGGCTCCGGGGCTGTGTGTCCGGGCCGGCCGTGGGGAGCAGCTCCGCAGCAGGAGGGAGGAGAGAAGGGAAGGGAGGACGGGGAGGGAAGGGCCAGCCTCTGCTCTGCCTGCAGTTTGGCTCCCAAGGTGCCCGGAGCGTGGCCGGAGCGCAGCTGGAGCGGGCCCGGCCGCCGCTCCGCGCAGCCCTCGCCAGACTCGGCGGCTCCCGGGAAGCCACTTGAAAGCGCAGCACCCGGAGCCACGCCGGCCGCCCACGTGCGCCGTGGGCAGCGACCCAGCACGCGGTGCTGCCAGCACAGGCAGGACGGCGCGCATGGGCTGTGCGCGGCGTGGGCGTGCAGCGTGGGCGTGCAGCGTGTGCATGTGCCGCGGGTGTGCAGTGTGTGCATGTGCCGCGGGTGTGCAGCGTGTGCATGTGCCGCGGGTGTGCAGCGTGTGCATGTGCCGCGGGTGTGCAGCGTGTGCATGTGCCGCGGGTGTGCAGTGTGGGCGTGCAGCGTGTGCATGTGCCGCGGGTGTGCATTGTGTGCATGTGCCGCGGGTGTGCAGCGTGTGCATGTGCCGTGGGTGTGCAGCGTGTGCATGTGCCGCGGGTGTGCAGCGTGGGTGTGCAGCGTGTGCATGTGCCGCGGGTGTGCAGCACTAGTGTGCAGCGCGGCTGTGCAGCGTGGGCGTGCATCACGTATGCACTGTGTGTTTGCATCGTGTGCGTGCATCAGGGGTGTGCATTGTATTGGTGTCGGATGTGTGCATCATGGATTTGCATCGTATGCCTGCGTTGTAAGGTGMATCGTGTGTGTGGATTATGTGCATGCATCGTGGGTGTGCATCAAGTGCATGCATCACAGATGAGCATTGCTCCCTCTCCCCCTGCAGTCGCCTTCATACATTTTATCTTTTTTCTTCCAAATGACCCATTTCTGGCAGGCAGCAGCTCCCTTGGGGATGCTGCTACTGCAGCAGCAGCATTGCAGCCCTGCCCTGCTTCTCCCTGCAGCCGCTGCCGCTGCGTTGCAAACCCCGGCGACACCACCCACCTGCATGTGCTGTGCCGGCGTGCACTGTGCCAGGGTGCACCGGGACAGCGTGCACTGTGCCAGGGTGCATTGTGGCGAGGTGCCTTGTGCTGGAGTGCACCGTGCCAACCTGCGCTGTGACAGCCTGCACTGTGCCGGGGTGCACTGTGCCAGGGCGCACCGTGCTGCACTGTGCCAGGGTGCATTGTGGCGAGGTGCCTTGTGCTGGAGTGCACCGTGCCAACCTGCGCTGTGACAGCCTGCACTGTGCCGGGGTGCACTGTGCCAGGGCGCACCGTGCTGGAGTGCGTTGTGCCGGTATGCACTGTGCTGGTGAGCACCATGCACCACACCAGCATGCACCATGTCGGGGTGCTCGGTGCCGGGGTGCGCTGTGCCCAGCGTGCACCGTGCTGGCACGCGTGCTGCTGATGTGCCCCATGGTGGCTCCCACTCCCACGCGCAGTGAGCCATCCAGCGCCGCACCAGCCAGGAGCAGTGCGGTTTCCCACCTGGCACCAGCGTGGCCGGTGCTGGCGGCAGCAGCCAGGCCTGCCCCGCGCTGCACTCGGGCTGGGCACGTGGCCTGCACCCGGGCACTATTCCCCTGCTGCACGCTGGGTGAAAATTGTGCTCTGCCACCAGCATTTATCTTTCCAAAGCAGCCATTTCCAGGAAGCTGCTCCTGCTCTGGGAGCTGCTCATCCCGCAGCTTATCAGGGCGAACAGGCTCCGGCTCCGCACGCGGCGCTGCCCCGGCCTGCGCTGCCCGCGCGCTCGCAAGCACGAGGTGGAGGCTGCAGGGCCTGGTGCAACCCGCAGGCCCGAGGCCACGCGCAGCGCTGCCCGTGCGGGGTGACACACGTGGGGCCCGTGCTGGAGCCAGGCGCGAGCCCCGGGACCGGCTCCCATGGGAGCTCGGATGGCACCGCGGGCAGCGTGCGGTGCCGGGAGTGTCTCCGGCCGCTCCGCTTTCCCACTTGCCCTGTGCCGATGGAGCGGCTCGTGGAGCACAGCTGCACAGCACCCTCTGCCGAGGCCGGGATCCACTGCACGGCGGCACAGCTGGCGCCCCGCGCACGGCTGGAAGCACCGGGCACGGCTGGAAGCACCGGGCATGGCTGGAAGCACCGGGCACGGCTGGAAGCACCGGGCACGGCTGGAAGCACCGGGCACGGCTGCAACCCCTGCAGCTCGCACCCCTCAGGGAAACTCTCGCGCTCTCGTGGTGACCCCTGAGTCCGGCTGGGAGCAGAACGGGGAGCTCTGTGTTACCCAAGGGGTTATTCCGCCCACAGCTGCAGCTCTGCTGTGTCCGTGCGCTGGGTGACACCTGCTCCTGATTTCCTTCCTGCTGCCCATTCTCCACCCCACCTGGGATGGGAGGGACAAACTTTTTTTTCTTTTTTTCTTTTCTAAGCTAGTGCACCCTTCTCCCTGCAGGTGCTAGGCACCCACAACCCCTCCCCTACACACAGCGGCCCCGTGTTCTCGGATATGGCCGATGATTCCCTCTGCTCCTGCTCCGCCAGGGCTGCCTGGGCGCTGCTAGGGATGGGTGGGTTTGCTCTATGCAGCCACATTTGGGGTTGGAGCTGTTTGACATCGCTAAACAAGGTGTGATGGATGGGTAGAGGGAAAATCACACTGGGAACATTGTGGGCCCTGTGCAAGATCTCCCGGAGCTCCTCACACGCTGCCCTGCGTTGCGCACAGGGTGCACACACAAGTGCACGCAGGTACCCTGTGCAGTGTGCACATTCGCACCACTGCCCGCAGGGCCCAGCGCGAGGCACCCAGAGCAGCCCGCCCATGGCAGGTGCTGCCGCAGCTGGGGCTCGTCCGCCCATCCTGCCCGCCCCGGGATAAAGGTGCTGCCAGGAAGCTGGGCTGGGTTTTCTGCTGATTGTGTCCTGGGCTGCTCCATCATGTGGGGCTGGTGAGTGGCTGGGCCTGGGAGCGTGGGGGGCTCTTGCTTGTGCTGCAGCTGCTGCAGCCTTGTCCTGTGCCTGCTCGTGGCCCTTCTCCTGCTCGCTGGGCTCTCCCTGGGGCTCGTGACCTCCCTGCTGCAGCTCTGCYCTTTATGCGCTGAGCCTGCCCCGTTAGGAGCCTGTTTGCCCAGGCCTGGCCCGGGAGCGGGAGAGCAGCAGCTCTCGAGGAGCCTGCAGCAGGGCCCAGTGCTCCCGCTGGCTCCGGGCTGCGGCGCCGGCCTTGCCGAGGGCTGCGGGAAGGGCCGGTGGCGCCGCCGCCACCGCGGCGCTCTCAGCCAGCACCGCGCAGCCCGGCGGATTTGCGCTTTATTTAGCAAATCCCCGCGGGCAGCCCCAAAGCGGCTTGCGCGGCGCCGYGGGAGGCACCTTGGCGGCGCGGGCGGGCGCGCGGCCTCACGTGTACGGCCAGCATGACGCTCCGTGCGAGCAGCGCCTCCGGCTCGCTGCTCGCCCTCCTCTCCCCCTTTTTTTCTCCTCTAACTTATTTATTTTCCAGGAGATTGCTTCTCYCTGCCAGTATTTGCATGCAGGCTCTGGTGCATCCCTTGCCCTCCGCATGTGCAGCTGGGTGTTTTTTGCTAGGAAACGTGCAGGAATAGGTGTGAAGTCGCTCGGATGTGCGCAAAGGGCAGCGCTGTGTCCCTCCGAGCGCAGCCCAGCGCCCTCCGAGTTCTGCAGCGTTCCCAGTCCCTCCCATTGTGGGATGCGGTCCCTCCAGGCCGCCGCTCCTGAGGCCATGCGTGCGCTCTGGCCTTGCTGCCCAGCTCACGGGTGCAGCAGGAGAGGAGAGGGTCCCACGGGGGCTGCTCACCCAAACCACCCACACTGGGACCAGGGTGGGATCCCACCCAGTGCATCCAGCTTCAGTGCTTGGGTTTGCTGGGTGCTGCTCCCGACCCAAAGCATCCTGGTGGCGATGCCCYGGGCAGAGGACCGGCCTCCATGCGAGATGCCTCCGGAGGGGACATGTCCAGCCCTTGGTGTGATGTTGCTCCACCTGCTGCACCAGGACCTGCCACCTCGCTGGGAAGCGGCTGCTCTTTCCCTTCCCAAGGGCAATTCCCTGCCCCGGGGCTCAGGTGCTGGATTCTCCTGCAGGAGGCAGCCTGGAGCCCCTTCCCCTGCATCATCCACCGGGATAAGCCGGTCACACAGGCTCCCCAGGATGGGGTGCAGGGTACCTAGAGGCCAATGTGATGCCTGGGGACTGTGGGGTGCAGGTGCCTGGGTGCACGTGGGGGGTCTGGGTGCTGTAGGGCATGGGGACAAGGTGGGAAGCTCTCCTGCTGTGGGGTGCAGCAGGGTGTAGGGGGATTTGGGAGCTGGGGGGCAGGATGTGGGGTGCAGGGGGTGGATGGCATGTGGGGCAGGTGGAATGCAGAAGCCTCGGGCAGAAYGGAAGGCTGGGATGTGGCTGTGGATGCAGGGCCTGGGGGGGGATGCTGGGGTGCAGCAGCAGGATGTGGGGACAGCTCTGGGATGTGGTGAAGGGCTGTGGGGGCCTGGGCTGGGCGGGGGGATGAATGGCTGGGGTGGGGGACGCCGGAGCACCCGGGGGTGGGATGCGGGGGGCAGGATGCAGCAGGGGGGAGATGCGGGGGGGCGGTGGGATGCAGGCGGCGGGGCCGGGCCCGCACCCGCGCTCCGGCGGCAGCCGCGGCCGCGCTCGGCTATTCCGGCTGCGCCTTTTATTTTTTTCCCCCCTTTCCCTTTTCCCCGCCCGCCGCCTCCCTCGCGCGGCGCCCGCGCATCTCCCGCCGGAGCGCTCCCCTAATCTGACAGCGCCGCTAATTAATCTCGCCGGCCCAGCTGCTGCCAGGGGATTATGAGGAGGGGGAAGTGCGTCACCAGGTGCGGGAAGGGGCTCGGCGGGGCCCGGGGCGGCCGCGTCCCCGGGGGGCTGCGGCGCGTGACGAGCGGCGCCTCCCGCAGCATCCCCGGCCCCGCCGCTCAGCACCCCCCGCCTTGCCATTATTTTATTTCCATTTTTTATTTGTTGCCGGCTTGCGTGTAGGGCCCAGGGGCTGGATCTGCGCTGCCCGGCGTTTTTATTATTTTCATTTTTTATTTTTTCCCCAGGCTCCGTGGAAAGTGAGGAATGCAATTCTGCCACCATGATGGAAGGTAGGTGGATGTGTGAGCGCGGCTGTGGCGGGGGGGGTGCTTGGATCACGGCATCCGCAGGGACATCCTTTGCCTCTCCTTAATTAAATATATATTATATATATAAAATAATGCATAAAATAATAACAACCGCCACCTCCGCCATGCCCCTGCTCAGGCGGCGGCGGGCGCGGCGGCGCGGCCATGGGCGCGTTGCGGTGCCCGAGCGCGGCGGGCGAGGGGCTGCGGCGGCGCCGAGGCCGCGGAGCCTCCGCGCGGCCTCCTGCGCACGGCGGCCGCTGCAGCCTCGGGGCCGCAGGTGGGATTTTATTTATTTTATTCAATTTGTCTCCGAAGCGCCGCGCTCTGGCTGCGCATCCATCATGGGAAGCGGCTGCATCTGAACCGGGGGTGATTCCAGCCCTGCTCCTGCGCGGGGGGAGGCCGAGCGGGATGAGGATGGCAGGAGGAGGAGGGCTGCGCGCTCCCATGGCGTGGGAAGAGCCCCGGCATTTCCCTGGGGACCGCGGGGCCCGGGCAGAGCCCGATGTCCCCGCCGGGGGGGGCGGCGGGCGCCGCAAGGGCGACGCTGCGCAAGGACGGCGCCCGCCGCCCGCTCCGTCCCCGCGCCTGCGGAAGCTCCCGTGCAGCGGGGATCGCGTTTCTTGCCTTTATTCGAAGGGGGGAGGAAAAAAAAGGATTTTTTTTTTCCCTTCCCCCCCCCGTTATCTGATGACTCTGGARCTGCCTGGTGCGTTTTTTCCGCAGTCGGGTTGATGCTTATGGGAAGGCAGGGAGGAAGTGAGGAGGTGGGAGGACGTGGAGTAATTAATGCGTCTGGTTAATTTTTAAGTGTCTGGAAGGTGGTTGTGCTTGTGGGGTCCTGAGCCTTGGACAAGGGCCCTGTCTCGCCCGGGTTGCTTATGTGTGTGCATATATRTATATGCATATATTTAACATATGACATGGGTGACTTGTGGTGGATTTTGGATTTGGTCTGTGGTGCTTGGCAGAATGTTTTGGTGCTTTCCACTCCTTGGGGATGTGATGAAGTGCTCTAGGTGCAAAAGCCACAGAAAACACCCTAAAAAGCAGCTTAGAAGGGGTGAGCCCAGGAAGGGCCATGGAAACCACCCGCGCACRGAGGATGGAGCCAGGCCCCGGGCCCTGGAGGCGACGTGGAGCCATGTCCCGGGCTGGGCACCCCAGCGCCTCAGCCAAGGGCTTGTTTATCTCCTCTCCTTTAATGAGATCTGTTGTGTTTCACGTGTACCGGAGCTATTTCATGTGGCTTGATTAGATCTTGAGGCTGCTGCTGTATCGGACGCTGGTAGCTCTGTGGGGCTGGTAGGACCAGACCGCTGTGCGGCTCATGGGAACATCAGCTCTGGTGGAGGAGCCCGCGTGGCCATCCCAGACACGTTCCCAAGCCTTGGCTGGGCCCTGGGGAGGCCTTCCCTAGGCAGCCGCTCTCCTGTGCATCCTCCGTGGGGCTGGAGGGGTCCAAAGGGTCCTGGGGGCTCCGCTCGTGGCTGCGTGGTCCTTGGTTGGGTTGCACGTGGCTCCAAGCTTGTTGTGTCCTTCTGTGGTGTGGGTATCTCCTGGTGCTGGTAGTGCATTGATGGTGGGACTGGAGATACAGGAGATCCCCTGCTTGGTGAGGCCCCGTTGATTCCTTGTGCTCCAGGTGATCTCCTCTCAGGAAGAGCAGCACTGGAATGTCACTGTGCTCTGCAAGGAGAAGGTTCCATGGAAGCRCCTTGGGTCTGACCAAGCCTGGGATGCTGGCATGGGAACAGCTCCCTCAAACACCAAGGCCCTCGAGAGAGAACAGGGTTTGGTCCCAGGAACCTGCAGAGTGCTGCCCATGGAGGTGTGGAGAGCTGGGCCCAGCTCCGTGGAGCTCGTGGCTCTCCCACCTCCTGCACGGAGGTGCTGGGGCCGCCCGGCTCGCGTGGTGCTGTGTGGGTTGGGAATGCTGCTCCGTGCCGCTGTGACGCGGGTCCGTGGGGGTGCCCGTGTTTGGAGGTGGTGTCCTTGTCCTCGCTCTGGTGTGAGCCTGAGGTGCCTGCTGAGACCTGGGCAGCTTGGGGAGCACCTGGGGGACCTGGGGTGGTGACAAAACCAGCTCCTAGGTCAGGTTGTCGGCTGTCCCGAGTGAGCTCTGTCCTGAGAGGCTGGGGAGTCCAGGCTGGCCCCATCCGGGCTCCTCTGTGAGCCATGGATCAACACCGGAGTCTGGGAAACGCTTGGAGCTGGTGCTGGGAACAACCAGTGTCTCTCCCTCCCATCCAAACCCCCGGCAGCTTCCAGACACAGGAGGTGGAGCAGGGGGAAGGAGCCGGGGTGCCCAGGGCTGGAGATCTTGGGGCAGGAAGGGGAGAAAACACAGAAAACTCATCAAGGGTGAGCAACGGAGCCGCACATACATCTGTGCCGTGTGCCCGTGGCAGGCGCTGTGACCCCTCGCAGCGYGTCCCTGAGCTGCCCACCCTCTGTGCTGACCCAACAGGTCTGTTTTTCACCCCAGAGCTGGGTTTTACTTGGGCAAGGGCCGCGTTTCCCTCGGGAAGGGGCTTCTCTCCCGACCCCGTTTGCCTCCGGCCGCTGCACAGAGGCTCTCTCTGTGCTGCTCCCCTCGCTCGTAAGTAATGCGAGCGCGGGCAGCACCGCGTGCCGCTCCTCGCCGTGCCCTCGCTCCCCGGGCACGGGCGCCAAGCTGGTCACGGCCGCTGCCTCTCTTGTTCTCGTGYGTCCTGCAAACGGCAGCTTTGCAGGGGGGACTGCTAGAAACCAGGCTTAACTGGGCCCAGCCGGTGCAGGAGTGGGCAATGAGTGCAGCCTGTGGCCCGGGCTCCTCCGAGGGGCAGGACGTGTCCCTGCCGTGTGGCCGGTGGCACTTGGGATGCCGTGGCATGGCTGCAGTCCCGGAGCTGAGGTGGTGGCAGCGCCAGCATCGCCGCTCTGCGGCTGGTGGCCCTGCTCTGCTCGGGGGGCTCCTGGGCCTTGATCCTGGCCTTCCCAGAGGGAAAAATAATCCCCAGATCCTCCACCTCCACACAGCAGGGCGTTTAAGACATGGGCTTGAGATTAGCGCCAGCGAGCGTGGGCTGTGCTGAAGTAGCCTGGAGGGGAGCTCGGGCAGAGGGTGAATTGAGGAGGGACCTGGGGAGGGAATGGGAGGCCGTGGGGAGCCGGGAGGCTGCAGCAGYCTCCGCTCCTCTGCCCTCGGCAGCCACTCGCTCCGCTGCCCGTAGCGCTCTGTGCAGCACATCAGCGTTAAATCCAATCTGTGGAAATCRGGGAAGAAATCCTTAAGGATGGAGGCTGATAGGTTAATAACAAATGGCATCGGGTGTTTGGGCCTGGGGCAGGGTTCTTGGGTACCTGGCAGTGTCCTTTGTTGTCCCCCATGATGAYGCAAATGAGGTGTTAGGATACAAAAAATCCGTTAAAACCTTCCTAAAATGCCCAACCACCCTCGGCGTGAGCTGCAGCGTGGCCCGTGAGCAGATGTGTGGAGTCCTCTTGTATTTCCCTTGGCTGTTTAGATGCCTGAACGTGGCTGCCTCGGGCAGTGAGAGCAGCCACGCTCCGGGTGTTCACTCTGAAGCCTACTGTGGTTTTGGGCAGAGGCCAGGCCGGGCGCAGAAGCAGATGGGGAAACACGGCAGCAGCTGTGCAAGAGGGCAGTGGGCCTTAAATATCTTAAYGAGGCTTTGGGCTTCTATTTCGCCCTTTTAAATTTTTGATTTTTTGAAGGTGACTTAAGTGCCTTCCGTGAGTATTTAGCTGTCAGTGAAGGAGCCCTAATAAACGGTGTGCAGCCAGGTCGGACCTGTTCTGTGTTGGAGATGCAGGAGCAGCCGCATCATTTATTGATGCTCGGGTTGTTAATATTGATGTCCGAGTAGCTCCTTCTCCCTGGGGCCCGGAGCTCTGTCAGGTGTTGCTGCCGCCAGTTCTCCGGCACCGGAGGGATGCGCGGGAGCCTCTCCTTGGGTCAGCTCCCAGTTCTACCGCTGCCCTGGTTCATCGCGGCGTCCAACGGAGGCGTTGGGCTGGTGGGAAGCTGGGRGGAGCGGGAAGCTGGAGCCGCTGGCGCGGGGCCCTTGAGCACGAGTCKCCAGCAACACCCAAATCCTGGTTTGGGGAGGACAAGTCATTCACTCTGGTCACGCTGAGGCCCTTCACGGCTTCCAGCGTCTCACCTGYGTGAGCATTTCCATTTGTGTGCGTGCATACCTATACACACACACGCAGACATATATATGTATGTGTGTGTGTGTAAATATATATATATATATCTTTGAACTCTGCAACATGGGCCTGAGGGATTTCCTCGTTGAGCAATGACTCGCTGCCTGCATCCTGCTAGCCTGTGGAGGTGGTTTTRGGGGCAGATGGCTGGTTTCTGGGGCCTCTGGCATCTTTCCTCCAGCTCCAAGCTGGGCATCCACTAGCACTGAGCCAGCAGCCAGGGTCTCCTCTGCTACCGGGGCACGATATTCCCGATCCCAGGAGCTGGGCTTATGTCCCTGCTCCGCACACTTGAGACTGGTTTTCTTCTCTCTGGGTGTGATTTGGAGAAGCTCAGTTACTTTGTGCCACCTTTGCTGACTGTGGGTCCTTCGTCAGCACGAATGGAGCCGGCTCCAACTTGGAGACGGTGGCGGGAGAGCAATGGGATGGCAGCCCGTGCGGGGCCACATAGGGAGCAGCATCTGCATCCAGCTGCTGGGAAAGGGCTGGCTGCTGGAAGCCAGAGACTGCTAATCATGTACATAAATATGTATAATATTAATAAGGAGTTGCATATTGCTAATAAAAGCACTATAGACATGCGCTATGTGCCAGCATAACRTTAGTGCTTCTGAACTTCTGATGCTGAGGAAAGCTGCTGTCCACCTGGGCAAGACATCTTAGCAGCAGGACCTAGTTGAAGGCAGTGATTTTTTGTTAGATTATCTTTTATGTTTTGCTCTGCCTTTGTGAAGCGCTTCCGTGCCCGCGGCCGGGTCCCTGGAGCAGATGGAGGGCCCGTTGCGTAAGGAGCAGGCGGCTCCGCCGCCTTCGTCAGCGGGGACCGCGCGACACTTCTCGYGCTCGGAGGATAAAATTATCCTGGGGGTTGAGCCCAACGGAGATCTCGTCTGGATATTAATAACTCGGGTCTTAAATGATAGGGAAGTGGAAGGACAAGACRGTGCAAAGCGTGGCCGTGTGCTCCCCGCGGCACCGGGCGCCCGGCCGCGTCCTTCCCTTCGGCTGCGGAGCCGGAGCAGGCGGCGGAGAGCGAAGCTGCTCGGTGGTGAAGGCCCATTAGGGCTCRCTGCGCTCCCAAGGCACCAGCTAATGCAGTTCCCTCCGAAAGGAGGTAATAAATTATTGAGGCTCTGGTATCCGAGAGGGTTTCTGCTCGCGGAGGCYGCGCTCGCCCTTGGAAGCAGCGCGGGGCTGGCAGCGGCTCGTGCTGTGGGTCGCGCCCGCTGCGAGGCGTTGGGCAGAAGCTCTGCTCCACGGGTGTGCAGGGAGCAGATCCTCCGTCCATCCCTGGGCAGAGGGGCCTGGCAGGGACAAGGGGCCTGGCACCGTGCGGTGCCAGGGCGCACTCGCTAGCTTTCCTTTCCTAGCTTTCCGTAGCTCCGCCTTGGCTTGTGGGTGCGTTTAAYGTGATGGAGACGGAGGAATTTGGGTGTTTGGGGATGCGATTGGAGGGATGGGGAGGAGAGCACATTGTGGCTGGAGCTAGCGCTGGAGGAGGTGTCTGGAGCAGTGCTCRGAGCCGGGAGCAGAGGGCCGGGGAGGAGCACCGGCTCCTTGGCACGTGTGTGCAGCAATGGGACACGTGAAGAAGGCAGCACCGCGGATCCAGGCGCGTGGGAAACRCGGCCCTGAGCAGACCTGAAACTCCTGCAGCTTCCAGCGCTTTCCATCCTGATAGCCCGAGTCAGGAATGCGGGTTGAAAGCCGCATCCGCGCAGGYGGTGAGCGCTGGAAGCGGGCGAGCCGCACGGCAGAGCCCGAGGCGCGTGTCCGCGCGCGCCGCTAACGCTCCCCGTGCCGGCAGGACTGAAGAAGCGCACCCGGAAGGCCTTCGGCATACGCAAGAAAGAGAAGGACACTGACTCCACGTGAGTGCCCGCGCCGGGAGCCGTGCCGTGGAGCGCGGCGCGAGGGAGGCGCGTGGCCGCGGCGCCGCTGGCTGCGGCGCGAGGGTGGCCCCACCGCGCCGTGCCGCGATAAGCGCCCTCCAACCCGCTCCCCTGGTGGGCTGGGGACCACAAAAAGGGTCCTGGGGAGGGGAGCGGAGGGTGGGCATGGAGGCAGGGTGGGAGCTGCTGGAAAGGTGATTCGGGAGCGAATTCTGTGTGGGCGCTTGGGACTTGKGAGGTAGAGGAGCAAATTCCCCCGCGGGAGGGATCGAGACCTAACGCAGCTCCCGTTTTCTGCCCCTTGCAGCGGGTCACCGGACAGAGATGGAATCGTGAGTACCGGGGGCTCTGCCGACCCGCTGCGCTCGTGCCCGTCCTGCCGCGCAGCCTCRGAAAGGAGCCTTTTTGCCTCTTAATCCCATTTTGCTAAGAAGTTATTTTTAAATCAGTGACATACTCAGGATTTTCTACAAAATTAACGTAACTAAAATAGCAGCAATGCAGGAAAGCTGATTTATATATATATTTAACTATAGACATGTATTTAAATGTGCGTGTATCCACTCGACAAASCCCGCGTGAGCACAGGCCAGGTACGATGCTCAAGTAGCTGCTCCCTTATCCCTGCCTTCCCTTGTGACAGCCTAGCTGGGTCAGATCCTCTGTGCAAGGGCCTAACCCAAAACAGCTAAATAGCCCCTGTGTTCTCAATACTGCTTTTGATTTTCCTGCATTAAGTAGGGGAGTAGCTGCGTTGTGAAGTCGTGCTGCTTTTATTGACGGCTTTCGGTGCGAGTGCACTGGTCGTGGCAGGGCCGTGTCTCCCGTGGCCGCTCTGCTCTAACCAGGACTCCGCTCAGCAGGCAGGGAGCGAAAAAAAGGCAAAACCACAATGTTTTGGCACGTGGAGCTTGGGGACAAAACCACAATGTTTCGGCACGTGGAGCTTGGGGACAAACCCGCGATGTTTTGGCACGTGGAAGCAGGGCCAGGCGGGGTCCCGTCCTGCCGCTAAGCGCAGCCCTGCTGCCCCGACCCCTGTAGCAATTAGCGGAGTTTAACGAGCCCCCTGCCCCATTAACGCTCTCTGTGCGCAGCCCGGCGCGGGCCCCAGCAAGCCGGAGGGTGCTGCAGGCGACGGGGTAAGGAGCCACGGGCAGCGGCAGCTCTTGGGGCTCGGGCCCCGAGCGGGGGCCACGAGGTTCTGCCCGGCGCTGGTCTGTGGTTTAGCGCCAATGGAGTTTTGAAGGAACAAACATGAAGGCCCAAAATGCCCCAAACAGCTGTGAGCTGTTGTTGCTTGCGTGTGAGAGCCCAAAGCGCACCAGCTCATGGGCTGGCTTGACAGCACTGCAACTGGCACCAGCGTCACCTGTAGCCCAATGACCTTTATTATTATTTTATTTTATTTTTAATTATCCTTTCTTGCTGGGATCATCAGATTCCTCTTCCCGGTGCTTTCCTGTGGGCTGGCCGTGGGCGCGCTGGCCTGGGAGGTGCTGTGCGCGGTGCTGTCCTTGCTGGGCTGGGCTTAGGCGCCATCCCCAAGCGCGTGGGCTGGGGGACAGCGGCTGCCCCGGCGCCCCGGCTCTGACACGGGGCCTTTTCCTTCCCGTGTGCCGCAGAAGAAAAGCAACGGCGCGCCGAATGGCTTCTACGCCGAGATCGACTGGGACCGCTACGTAAGTGCGCGGGAGCTGGCGCGGCGGCGAGCGCTCGCGGTTAGTGCTGGCTCTGACCCTCGCCTTCCCGCCGTGCAGAACTCGCCCGAGCTGGACGAGGAGGGCTACAGCATCCGGCCRGAGGAACCGGGCTATATCCTTTACTGCCACCGCGCAAGCCCGAGCTTGCAACGAGGTCACTTCATAAATAGCATTATTGTTGTTGTTGTTATCCCCCCTGCTCCTTTGCCACGGGCTGTTATCCTGTGTCTGGGCTCCCGGAGGTGATGCAGTGGCGGCTCCCTGCCCCGTGTGGGAGACCAATGTCCCCGTTCCTGGCAAGAGCTTCTTTAACGGCAGCCCACCCACCAAGGGAAAGCACTTCTACTCGTCCAGCGAGTCCGAGGAGGAGGAGGAGGCCCACAAGAAGTTCAACATCAAGATCAAGCCCTTGCAGGCCAAGGACGTCCTCAAGAGTGCGGCCACCGTGGATGAGCTCAAGGCGTCGATAGGCAACATCGCGCTCTCGCCCTCGCCCGTGGTGAGCCCCGGGGACAGCACCAGGGGACAAACCTATTTCCGTGCTACCCTTATAGAAAAGAACTGATTTTTGTGCCCTTTTTCTTTTTCCCACTTTTTCTGCATCCTCCTAGAGGAAAAGTCCGGTGAGCAACGAGTCTATTTTCTCYTGTCCCCTTCTGAGGCACAGACTCTACTAGCACTGACGGGTCTCTGTCCGGGCGGTCCTGGTCAGTCCGCAGGGAGGCGCAGGGCAGCGCGGTGACCGAGCYGCGCTCCGCGGGCACGGCGCGCACGGATCCCTTCCATGCACGTGGGGYGCCGGGGGCTGCTCGCTGTGCTCCGCAGGGGACATGGGGCCRCTTGGCAGTGACGCCCTGGTGGGGATCRGGATGGGGATGGGGATGGGGGTGCCCCCCGTGGCAGGGACACGCGGTGGGGCCGGGGCTGCCGCGCTCTGACACCGTCTCCRCTCTCTTCCCTCCGCCGGCCGCAGCGGCGCAGCCCGGTAAGACCCTTTTCCTGGCGGTTCTGYGAATCCGGGGCAGCGGGGCCAGCTACCGCTGCCCTTCCTGGGAGCGCTGCCTCCGCTCACCCCGCTCTCCCCTTCCCTTGCAGGGCACCATCAAAAGGAACCTCTCCAGTAAGTGCAGCGTGCCTGGCACCTGTGGCCTGGGCGTGGGCCGTGGCGATGCCCTAGCAAGCGTGCGGGGAGGGAAACTGGCTCCAGCTTACAAGCTATAATACCATATTTAACACATTAATATAGTAGTATATAACATATCGTGATTTTTATTATATATGGTATGACTACATAGATGCAATACATATGAGTGTGCATTGCATCTATGCATTGCTCGTATATGCATTTTATACGTGGCATGAGCATATAAGCGTGTGCATATGTGTATGTATGTGGGGGTTTGGTGGGGGGCCGTGCCGGCGGCGCTGGGGCTGCCGCTCACCGTGCCCGTGCCCGCAGGCGAGGAGATCGCGCGGCCGCGACGTGCCACCCCGACGCCCACGCCGCCGCCGCCAGCGCCCGACCTCGCCGCGTGAGTGCCCCTGCCACCGCCTGGCACCCTCCTTTGTAGYATCTTTATATATTAGGAAATAATTTAGGCAGTTTCTGGTGTTTTTCCTGCAGCTGTCCCTTTTATTTATTTATTTTTTTTTTTACAGTGTGGTCTGTATGCTATGCACAGGCCCAAGCAGCACGTGTGGCTTTTAAATGCTTAAGCTGGCGAGGGCACGTGGGTACTGCTACACAGGGTATCAACCTCCCCACGTTTTGACCCTTTTCTTGTGTGTACCTGGATAGGCCAAAGTCTGAATAAAGCAGCAAATGTGCCAAATATTTCCTCGAGCTCTAGGTGCCACAGCCTGAGCGCGTGCTGCCGGCCCGGGGCTCATGGGGCGGCAGGAGCACGGGGCATATAACCTTTGGGACTGGATACTGTCCCTGGTTATTTAGGCAGGGGTGCTGGGGGGTGGGAGGTGCGGGGGCTCCCCGGCCCCACTGCGCTTGGTGCCGGGGTGCAAACGGGCGCTCGCTGCCGCCCGCAGCAGGAAGCTCGTGGAGGACCCGGCCGCGCTCGCCCCGCTCTTCGGGCCCCCGCTGGAGTCTGCCTTTGAGGAGCAGAAGCTGGAAGGTAGGGCACGAAGCGGGCTGGCGCTTGGCTTGTGCTTGTTGTTGGTGTTCATTAGCGCGTGCATTTAGTACATGCCTCGGGTGGCATCCCTGGAACCCAGGCTCTTGCACCCTCTCCCTTAGCCTCTCCAAAGGCAGTGATCCTGCAACGGCTCTGCCAATGCAGGCAATAGGAAGAAACACTATTATTATTATTATTATTTTAGTAAATGGGAGGGGGTGGTCAGGTTGAAAAGAGAGCTTTTGGCCATAGCAAAACACACGCGGTTCTGTCCTGCTGCCAGCAACATCATCATCATCATCCCACCCATCAGTCTGTGTTTGACTCAACAGTCCTACCTTTTCCCAAGGGAAAGGGGGAGGCTGAAGCAGAGCACGAAGGATGCCAGGCCTCCCCATGCTCTGCCTTTAAACTCTGCCCTGCTCTGCCTTTGATACGTGCTTTCCCTGGCCATGCAGTCGTGTTGTATCACTTGTCAAGCACTGTGAGCATCAAACTAATGGCGTGTCCTGCCGCACACGAGGCGAGCTTGCAATTACTGCTCCTGCAGGGCCGCTGTCCTTAACGAACACGGGTTTTCTGCAAATGCTGCTCTCCTCTCCTTAGATGCCTTCACTTCTCTTCTCCTTGCAGCTCCGCTGGATCAGCCCGAGATCTGGGGCTCAGCGCCAGCCGGGAGCTCTGGCACCGAGTCGCCCAAGCTGCCGCGGCCGTTCCCCACTGGAAGTAAGTGGCAGTGCCGGTCACCCGCCCCACACGAGCACCGTGTGCGTGGACACCGTACGGGCAGGTCCTGTCCGCACGTCCCTGCAGCTCTAGGGGTAGAAATGTGCCTCGGAGGCTGTGCATTTCAATTAATATGCACATTTGCTTTTATTTAGAAAGAAGAATATAATGTAAACGTAAAGGCAGCAGCCTGGCACGCGGTGAGGTGCCCCCGCCCCTAGCCTGCATCGTGCTCACTAGCTGTGCGTTAATCCCTGAAGGCTAAAGCAGCCCTTAGTGGAGCAGGTCCTGGCAGCGCGTGGCAGCACCTCTGCCCCTAGGGCTGCAAGGGGACGGAGGCGAGAGCGGAGCRTGCGGGGACGCGGCACTCGGTGGCACGGGACGGCACGGGGCTCGCACGGCACAGGGTGTTTGGTGGCACGGGGTGCACGTGGGGCTCACGCGCCCCACTCCGTGTCTTGCAGCGCCGCCGCCGCTCCCGCCGAAGAACGTGCCGGCGACGCCGCCGCGGACGGGCTCCCCGGTGCCGGCGGCCACAGGTACCGGCGCGGGGCCGGCCGGCTGGGGCGCGCGGTGAGCGCGCGGCCTCCCCGCTCGCCGGCGGAGGCTGCGCCCAKAGGGGTGCCGCGTGGCGGGGAGGCTGCAGCAGGCCCTGTTCTCGGACTCGTGCAAGCCCCGCGCTGCCCCGGCCTGCGTTTAAACCCCCGGCACGGCGCGGGTAGATGCTGCAGCGAGAGCGAATAAAGCGCGTGCACGCATATAATTCATGGTGCTGCTCCGTGCAGTCGGTGAAGGCACAGTGCCTGCACAGAGCGTCCCCCCATCCCAGCGAGCYTGGCTCACCGTAGTCCTGCTCCGTGTGCTGTGAGTGATGCCCCAGGCTGCTGTTGTGTGGAAAACACCCCAGGAGCGAGCAGCAAAGCGGGCCTGGCCCCCGCGGCTTTGCAGAGCTGCTCTGGCTCCTGCTTCCTTGGCCGCTCCCGAGCGAGTGCTGCTCGAGCACCGTCTGTGCTGTGGGACCCTCAGACTGCTTCATYGGCAGTGGGGTGCGAGCAAATGTGGGTGCCATGCGCTTCGCCGCTCGGCATGGCACAGGGTGGCAGCAAATGAGTAACGTGCGCCCCTGTCTCCCGTGCCCCTGGCTACCTGCGCGCTGGCGGGACCGGCCGTGCAGGCAGCGTGTTCTCGAGCTGGGCGCGTGAGCAGCCGCTGGCCGGGCGAGCGTGCCGGCGGGCGATGCGCCGTGTCCTGCCTTGCACATGAATTATAGCGGCAGCACTCGGGGAACTCTGCTTGAAGGCGTCTCCTCCAGCGGCGCTGCGCTCGTGCCCGCTGCCAGCGTGGTGCAGCCGCGGGCTAAGCTGAAACTAACCCGCTTTGACCGCAGGCAGCGCCGCGGGGGCCGCCGAGGGGCCCGCTGAGCAGGCGCCCTCCATCAATGACCTGGACCGCATTTTCGGCCCCGTCCTGTCACCAAAGGCCGTGGCCGTGGACACCGAAGACAAGTGGGTCCATTTTTCGGATCAGTCCCCGGAAAGCGCCGCGCCGCCCGCGCGGGAGCCGCCGTCCCCGCTGCGCCTGGAGGAGCAACCCGGCCCGGCGCCCGCCGAGGCCGAGCCCCCCGCCGCCTCCCCCCGGGACGCGGGGCCCAGGGCCACCCCGCCGCCGCCCCCGCCGCCCACCTACCGCGCCGTGGTGTCCTCACCGGGACCCGGCGCCAGCAGCGGCGCGGGCAGCCCCAGCGGTACGTGCCGCCCGCCGCCCTCCCTGCCGTCGCTCCTGCTTGTTCCCGCCAGCGCTCCCAAAAAATCCCTTTCTTGCTGCGTCCTTGTGCTCGTCGTGGCCCTGCTGTGTTGCTCCTGGCAGATCTCCCACTTATGACACCCCTGCTCAGGGTGGCCGGTGGCTCCCCTTGGTACAGAGACAGTCCTGCTCGCCCTCCCRTGGGAGAGCACTCAAGGGGCATGGAGGTTCCTAAGGTAGACGCTGCCAACGAGGAAARGATGGTGGCTCTACCTGGAGCTTGGTGGCCCCTGGGGCATCCTYGCCTCTGTAGGGCTGTTATGATGGAGGAGCTGGTGCGAGGTCCCTGCTGGGGCTGGACCACCCTGCCCGGGACCGTGTCCCCTCCGCAGCAGCGCTGGGCTGGTGGCACCTGCGGATCTGACTGCCTGGCCGCTTGGGCATGGAGCGCTGGGGCTGTGTCCAAGGGTGCTCACCCACGTCCCTCTGGAGGACACCGTGTGGAAGATCCTGCCCCTTCCCTTCCGTGCCAATCCTGCCTGCAGTGAGCGTGTGTGTGCGTGGGTGGAGAGCCCTCGTCCCCCGCGGTGCCCGCGCCGCCTCCGGGACGGCGCTCGCCCGCACGTCGCTTCTGCTGTGGCTGTGCCGTGTCGTGGTAGTGGCTGCARTGGCTCCTTGTCTGTGTCGTGACGTGTCTAGCAAGGCCCGTGCAGGGCTGGAGGTGCCTGCTCTTCYGGTGCACTGCTTTTTTTCTGGGTGGGAACCTTCATGGGGTGGGCAGCATCCYTCTGGTGCCCAGCACGAGCGAGGATGGAGGAAGTTCCTGCTGTGCGCAAGGCACCGCTGGCCTCCCTGGCCCAGGGACACCCCTGTTGGGAAGCCGCCTGCCAGCATTGCATCTGCTGTGACCACGAGCAGCAGCACCAGGACGAGCACCACATGCTGGATGAACCCCGCGTGCCAGGATGCCCCGAGGGAAGCTGGGTCCTCAGCAGCATCCAAAGATCCTCAGAGGATACCCAAAGCCCCGCTCCAGCCTTTCCCAAGAGCTTGGACGCTGCTGCTTCCTCCCACACCACAGAGCAACAAGTGGTGCCACACAGGCCTGCGCGGCCGGGCCACCAGAGCCTGGGTGCAGCGTGAGTGCCTCCGGGAAACCSAGGGTCCCTCAGGATACAAGCAAGGAAAACACTCAAATCCCAGGACAGGCCTTGGGCTGTCATGGCCCTGATTCAAGCGGTGCACGGGCTGGCCGAGCTCTGCTTTCCTGCAGCGAGCCCGTGCTCTGCCCGGCCGTGCCGGCGGCTCGCTCTGCGCACCGAGCCCGCTCGCCTGCCCGGCGCCCCCAGGGCCCCGTCTGCGCCTTTGATGTGAGCGGCCTTCCAGCAGCCCCACGGGCTACAAAGCTGCTTGGCTCCCTGGAAGGGCAGGGAAGCCTTTGGGAGGCCGCAGGAGCCTGGCGAGAGGCYATCCTTGCCTCTCCATGCGAGCTGCCCGCAGGCAGTGCCGGCTGGGTGCTCCCTGCGCTGACTCCCGCGTGAGCAGCCCCAGCGGGACGGCCGTGAGGTGCCGCGCCGGGGCTCACCCCGCTCCTTGCTTGCAGGTGCCTCGTCGCCCGCGCGCCCCGCCACGCCGCTGGCCTGCGGCACGCCGCCGCCGCCGCCACCACGGCCCCCGTCGCGGCCCAAGCTGCCCCCCGGCAAGCCCGCCGTCACCGACGTGGTAGGTGCACTGCCAGGGACAGCGGGAGGGAGCAGGGGGGTCACGGAGCCAACGAGCCGTGCGGAGGTGCTGGCGCTCGGCCGTCCTGCCGGGGCGCACAGCTCCGGCGSCGCTGCGGACGCCACTGGCGCCTGTCTCGCTTAACCTGCTGCTGTGCCGCGTGTCTCCGCAGTCGAGGCCGTTCAGCCCCCCCATGCACTCCTCCAGCCCGCCTCCGGTCGCCCCGCTCGCCCGCGCCGAGAGCACCTCGTCCATCTCCTCCACCAACTCGCTGAGCGCAGCCACCACTCCCACCGTTGGTAAAAGAGCCGCCAGCGCCGCCGCTCCTCGCTGTCCCGGGCGCCCGCGGAGGCGGTTCTGGTCTGCGAGGGGCTCCCGGGGTGCCTGCGCGGGGCCGGGCGCAGCGCGGCGCGGCGCGGGGGAGCTGCGGGCAGGGGATGCTCATGGCCCGTGGCATGGTGGGGAGCCGCGGGCCTCTGCTCRCCTCGCGCTCCCCGGGCCTCGCCGGGAAGGAACGGGCGGCTGGAATTCCACTGGGATTTGTGCTGCACCCCAAAACGCCGCTCCAGCACCGAGCGGAGCAGYGCGTGGCCGAAGCTGGTGCCCCTGCGCTGGGGATAGCGCCCGTGGTGCCTGCCAGCCGGGCTGGTTCTGACCCGTGCCACAGCCCTGCGYGAGCCCTGGAGCGGTGCCAGCCTCGGCGGGAAGCGCGGTCGGAGCGTGGGAGCCAGGTGCAGGCTCCCGAGGTGCCTGCCCGTCTCTTCTGAAGCCTCTCCTTAAAATCTGCCCTTTTTTGCAAAAGGCAGCTGATCTCTGGTTTCAAAACCGACACGTTAAATGTTTTTAGCGCGCGGGGCTCGGTGCTGGCGCGCTTTGGTGCCTGTTGCATGCACAGCCGTGCGCTCAGGCGGCGAGAGGGCCGGGGCTGYGGTCCCGCCAGCCCTGCGGGACTCAAACCCTGCCCGCGTGCATCCATCTCTCCCCCATGGGCACAGCGCCCGCTCCATCTGGTCCGGCAGCYGGGGCTCCTTTCCCTCTCTTTTCCCTTTCCCTGGTGGTCAAAGCAGCACTTCTTGATCCCGAGGCCGTGCGCGCTCCGCGTGGGGAAGCGCCGCATCCATGCAGGCGACGAGCAGCGCTCCGTGCCGCCTGCGCCGAGCTCCGGCSTCGCAGGGAGCGACAGGTCTTGGCTAGGGGCGTCCCCCGCAGTGGCGCATCCCCGTGCCCCCCGTGCCCGCACACGCAGCCCCTGCCCGCCCCGCCGCTTGGCTGCCGCTTCTCTGCTCCCGCATGCCCCGCTGCAGCGCCGGCACGTCCCGCCGCTCTCGCTGCCCGGGCGGTGCCGGCGGCGAAGGCGCTTTAGCCCCGGCGGCTCCCGCTAAACCGTGTGCCCCGTGGCCCGAGCAAGCACCAAAGCAAAGGGTTTTGCAGGCGGCCAAAGCGCTCTTCCCGCCGCGCCGGCCCGCGCGGCTCCGCATCCCGCTCGCTTCGGCRCCCGCCGCCGCCTCCCCGCTCGCGAGCTGGGTGCCCTGCTCCGTGACTCACTCTGTGTCCTTCTCTCTCCCGCTCCTGATCCGCCCCCGTCCCGCTTCACCTCCCGGCCCCGCAGAGAATGAGCAGCCCTCCCTCGTTTGGTTTGACAGAGGAAAGTTTTATTTGACTTTCGAAGGTAAGTAGCGCGCCCAGCGCCGTGCCCCGGCCCCGCGGCTGCTTGGATGCCGCGGCGCCCCGGGCTTCCTCGGCACCACCTCTTCACTTGCATTTCATAAACAAAAAGAAAGAAAGACCAAAAGAGCACCTTCTGGCACCAAAAGCTGCGAGCATCCGTGCGCTGCCGCGGGAGCCCCATGCCTGCTGCTGCCCTGGGCTTTGTAGCAGGGTGCTTGCAGCCCCCTTCTGCAGCCGAGGTCCCTCCTTCCCGCGGGCTTGGGGCTGGTTTCRGCAGCCCCTCACCCCTGTGTCAGGCTGCGCCCGGTGGGTGCCAGGAGGCAGCACCTGGTACCAGTGCCCACAGGGGCTCGGGCCTTCACCCCCGTGATCCAGGGCTTGGTGGGCTCAATAGCGGGCAAAAAATGAGTTAAAAAGGGAAACCAGCCTTGCCTTTGCGGGGCTTTCGGCGTGCTCGCCGAGCAGCCTGGGCGCGCGGCTGCTCCTGCGCTAGGTCGCTTGCTCCTTCCCTGGCTCCTGCCGCTGCTCGGGGTGTTTCCTGCTGCCCTGAGAGTTTCCCGCAGCAAATCCCTGCAAAAAGTCACTCCAAGGGCAAGAACTGTGCTCCCCAGCCAAGCAGTTTGCTTAAGAACGTGAACATTTGCTCGCGAGCGGGTTTTGGCGTTCCTCTTCCTCCCCACGGAGCCCGCATCTCGCGTTAGCGCCGGAGTGCGCAGCGGGCACCCCCGTTCTGCAGCCGCGGAGCAAGGTCGCGTGGGCTTTCCCTGGTGTTTTCCATGGTGCTGGAGCGAGCAGGGGTGCAGCAGGAGGCGGCAGGGGCTGCTCGCGTTAGGTCAGCACTGTGGGTGCTAGCGACCTGAGGCAGGAGCGCTGGGGCCCGTGGCTGCCAATGTCCGGACACGGTGCCGGGCTGC